ATGATAGTGGAGATGTAACAACTGATAACAGAAATACAAAGGAATGTAAGAAAATACTGTGAACAACTTATATGCCAAAAAATTGGACAACCTGGATGAAGAGGGAAAAATCCCTGGAAACATACAGTCTTTCAAAACTGAGTCAGGAAAAATCAGAAAATCTGGGTAGACTGATAACAACTAATAAAAATGAAGCAGTAATAAACTCCCAGCAAACAAAAGTCCTGGACCAGATGGTTTCTCAGGTGAATTTTACCAATCATTCAAAGAAGAATTAACACCTGGGACTTCCACCAAGGTAGAGGCGTAGGTGGAAACACTTTACCTCCTTGCACAACCAAATCTAAAAACAGCAAAGTTTTAACAACAGTAAATGCAGACAAGCCACAGAAAATCGAACAGTGCGAAGTCTGATGACAACGAACCACTGAACTAAACCGGTGAGAGGGGTGGAGCCAGCAGAGGAGTGGGTGGGGCAAAAAAGATCCCCCGACCAGGGGCGCAGGCCGAGGGTGAGGATCCCAGGTGCTGGGTAGTGACAGGCGGCCCCAGCAAAGGTGCTGGGCAACTGGCTGACCATGGTCGCGCATTTGCATGCAGATAAACAGGTGCGGGGGGGGATGGGGGGGCGGTGAGCAGTGAGGTGGGCAGGTTGGGAGGGAGTGGAGAGGTTGGGAGGGAGTAGGGAGGATCGCCATTGCTCCCTCTCTGCCCCTGCCCCCACATACAGCCTCACAAACCAGCGACCTGGGTGGCCCTGCCCTGGTGAACTCCTAAGGCTCTGCTCCTCATAGGTAACAGGCATGAACAGATCAAAACATGGCTAAAGAACAACTCACAGCCCCAGAGCCGATAAATTTAAGCAAACAAGAAATTGCCAACCTGTCAGAGGCACGGTTCAAAACACTGGTGATCAGGATGCTCACAGAACTGGTTGATTTTAGCCATAAATTACAGGAACATATGAAGGCTAAACTAATTGAAATGACGGGAAATGCACAAGAAAGCAATAGTGATGGAAAGGAAACGGACTCAAATCAAGGGAGCGGACCAGAAGGAAAGAAAAAACGACCAAACAGAAAAATATGAAGAAACAAGAATTCAAAAAAATGAGGAGAGGCTAAGGAACCTCCAGGACATCTATAAACATCCCAACATCTGAATTATAGGGGTACCAGAAGGGGGAGAGGAACAGCCACCAATGGAAACCTTATTTGAACAAATAATAAAGGAGAATTTCCCCAATCTGGCAAAGGAAATAGACTTCCAGGAAATCCAGGAAGCTCAGAGAGTCCCAAAGAAGTTGGACCCAAGAAGGAACACACCAAGGCACATCATCATTACCTTAGCCAAGATTAAAATGAAAGAGAGAATCCTAGAAGCAGCAAGAGCTAAGGGGACAGTCACCTACAAAGGAGTCCCCATCAGACTGTCAGCTGATTTCTCAAAAGAGACCTTACAGGCAAGAAGGGACTAGAAAGAAATATTCCAAGTCATGAAAACCAAAGACCTACAACCAAGATTGCTCTATCCAGTAAAGCTTTCATTTAGAATGGAAGGGCAGATAAAGTGCTTCTCAGATAAGGTCAAGTTCATGGAGTTCATCATCACCAAGCCCTTATTATATGAAATGTTAAAGGGACTTATCTAAGAAAAAGAAGATTAAAAAAGATGAACAGTGAAAGGACAGCAAACTCACAGTTATTAACAACCACACCTAAAACAAAAGCAAACCAAAGGGGGACTAAAGGGGGACGTGGAACTATATTCCACATCTGGGAATGTATCCTAAAAATCCCAAAACACCAATTTCAAAGAATATATGTACTCCTATGTTCATAGCAATATTACTGATAATAGCCCATATTTGGAAACAGCCTAAGTGCCCATCAGTAGAAGGGTAGATAAGAAAGCTGTGGTACATTTACACAGTGGGGTGCTATGTAGCATTATAAAATGTAATTACATGGATGGAATTGGAAACTATTATGCTAAGTGAAATAAGCTAGTTAGTGGAAAATAAATACCATATGATCTCACTTATAAGTGGAATCTAATAAACAAAATAAAGTAACAAGCAAATTACAATCAGAGATAGAGAAATACGGAATAGACTTGCCGCAGACCAGCTGCAGCAGGGTCCAGGGATTCCCGAAGGTGGGTAAGGCGTCGGCGATGGGTAACAGACGACAACACGCCTCAAAGGACAGTGAAGCTCTGTTCCGTTTGTTGCAAGTACAAGCAGGTTTTTATATTTTCATTTTAGGTAGTGATTAACATTTGCAGTATAGCATGATCAGTTAAGCAGAAAAAAATCAATATAAAGGTAACCAGGAAAAGTACAAGAATTTCCATAGTTTCAATTATATTATATAAAAATTGTTTTGACTAGGAGAATCATTAATCAGACAAGTAGCTGTATGGACAGAGGTTGAATGTCTAAATTGTATATTAAAGTTTCTCAGAATTTATCATGGGGCAAAAGAATACGCTAGGTTGAATAGAGGTAATAGGAAATTTATTATAAGGCCTTTATGATGTCTAACTTAGCTCTCTATCCTTTTCTGTCTAAAATGTTTCTCTGTGTACTATAAACTGACTCTCTAGTAACTGTTTCTACGTGTTTAGTTTGTTATAGTTAACCAGCCCTTTTTTAATTTCTTTGCCTGTCTAATTGATATATATTCTTATTCATGGTAAAAGAGGGGCCGTTACTCCAACACCTTTTAAACATTCAGGGACTATTTCATTAGAGGGAACTTTGTTCTCTGGTCAAGAAACTATTTTGTACAACTTCATAGGAATTATGCGAATCAATGAACCTGAAATATAAGTGTCTAACAATCCCACCACCTCTTGATTACCAAAACAAACATATAAGGAGAGAGACAGAAAATCCAGCCACAGTTGCCTCTGCCTTGCAGATGCATCTCAACCATCCTGACCATATCCCTGGGCTGTGGGTAGGGGTCTGTATAGTTTTTACTTGTTTTCTTGGAAGACTCTTTGTATCTGTGGGTAAGGAACAGTAGTGGGAAAGTCTTTCTAATCTATTCTTCCATTCCCTCAACTGTTGGCAGCATTTGCAGCAACAATCTGGTTCTTTATTAACTGGCCTTAACTGTTGATTTAAGAGATCTAACTTGTTTTTCTTATTTCTGATGCACCATGACAGTCCCAATCGCTTTAAGTTGCTCAAACCAGAGTAATTTATACAACTTGACATGTTTTCCCTTATGGTTAACAATTATATTACCCTGGCTGTTGTACTCCCCTGTATAAGGGAGAGGAGAATTTGTGGAGATTTTTCCATCCTTTCAGGCAGTTTCATGGGGAATACTAATGTTTACCCCTGAACTGTTCCCTCCTCTTGGGTGATTTTCACAGGAATAAGTAAGTACAGTGCAATGTCCACACTCAGATGAGATCGGGCACGTTCAGGGTGGTATGGCCGTAGACGGGCTGTCCATACTGAGTAGCAAGAGTAAAATAATTAAAATAAAATAGCCAATTGTTAACCCATTTTGGATGCCATGTTCTCCTCTGGGGAGAGGAATTCCTTGAACTCAAGTCCTCCATGCCTGGACCTTGTCAGACACCATGGTTGGAAGAGGACGTGGCACAGACTGACAGCTGTAAGATGGGAGTGGGAAGATGGGGACTGGTTGAAAGAAGGTGGAGGGATTAGTCAAAGAACACATATGAAGGACCATGGACATGGACAACGGTGTGGGGAATGCCTGTGGGAGTGGGTGGTAGACTGTATGGTAGGGATCAAAGGGGGAAAATTGTGACATCTGTAATAGCATAAACAATAAAATATTTAAGAAAATAATAAAATAAAATATTTACACACCCCCCCCCCATAAAATGTAGCTTTCCCTGTATTTGGGGTCCTCCTCCAAAAAAATAGAAATCTTTCCCTACTGATTTATACAGATTGGCTTCATTTTTAATGATTATATGGGGGTCCATCATATAGCTGTCCCTCATTTAATCTGTGCCCTGTAGATGGAAAGTTTATGTCTATTTTCTCCTTTTTTGTTATAAATAATGTTGTCTTAAATACTTGAATAGACTTGTCTTTTTATTTCTTTAGGAAAATATTTTGAAGTAGAAATGCTGGATTGTTTATTGTATCCTTAACATCCATCTGGTACATAAGAGACACTCCTATTTGTTGAATGAATGCTCACTAGAGAGCATTTGCTTTTTAAAAGCACTTGTTAAACATTGCCAGATTATCCTATAGAAATAATGCCATTTACATTCCTAACAGAGATTGAAAGCATTTATTTTTCCATAATAATAATTATATAAATAAATACAGTACATGTATTCATTAATATAATTATAAATACTTTATGATTTTTCATTTGGTTTCATACTTAGAAAAGTTCACTTATCCAACTCTAAAACAAGTCATTGATAATTGTTTTTTTAAATATTTAAATCCATAATTTCTCTGGGATTTATTTTTATATAAGGTTTTATGCTTATTTACATATGAAGTTCTTTTTTACAATAATATCCTTTCTTTCTAAAGAAAAACACTTGCTTACTGGCCCCTCTACTTAAAATTTTGAAACATAGTTAAAATTTGGAGATTTGGAACCCTGGCTGGTGTAGCTCAGTGGATTGAGCGCAGGCCTGCGAACCAGACAATCGTGGTTTGATTCCCAGTCAGGGCACATACTGGGGTTGCAGGCCGGTTCCCTGCAGGCCAGTTCCCAGCAGGGGATGCACGAAAGGCAACCGTACATTGATGTTTCTCTCCCTCTCTCTTTCCCTTCCCCTCAAAGATAAATAAATAAAATCTTTAAAAAAATTTTTGGAGATTTGGAAAATTTGGACTATCCTAGTTTTTAATTCACTTGGCCACCTAAGACAATGATTGTTTGCTTATTTTTAGTAAGAATACTTGAAGACAGAGAGTTATGTGGAAAAAAATGAATAAATGTATTACTTTTTCTTGTTTATGTATTTTCTTTGTTAACCAGGTGAGATCATGGATAACCTCACCCTCGAAGCTGGAGATGACGCTGGAAAAGTGAAGTGGGTGGACATCAGTGATAAACTCAAGCTCTATGCGAGTCACTCCCAGTTCATCAAACTAGTTGCAGAGAAGCGAGATGCACACTGGAGTGAGGGCTGTGAAACTGACTGCCATGGGTTATAGCTCACAGCCTCCATGTAAGCTGAAGTTCAACCAAGGAGCACACACTGAGAAGAAGGCACTATCAACAGAACTGATACTAGCAAGAGGGCAGGGTTGATGACTTGGAAATAATTTTATTCACCTTTCAAATGATTTTCATTTAGGAGGTTTTACATCAGAATAAAATTAGGTAGATATGGTGAAATCCAACACAGTATTTTTGGCTTTTTAGTCAAAAGAAATATGAACATATTTTATACGTATTCTATTTTAAGTATGCCTCTAAACCAAATTTAAACAACTTTAATGCTGTTTGGTTTTTTTTGGTGGGGGAATTTAAGTTTGATTTATTAAAAGTCATTGAAATATGTATAGTCAGGAGATGCTGTGTTACATGTAGGTGGTGTCAATTCTGGTAGTTCTGTGTTCTTTGTTCAGTGCTAGTTCTTAGCATGAAACTTGTGATGCCATGATAGCAAAGGGACATGTTAAGTACACTGACTTATTTTTCAAAACCAAATTAACCTATTAGCTTCTATTGAAAGTTTGAAATTTTTTTCAGAGACTGTAACTCATTTTTTTGAGCCATTGCTCAAATATAAAAAAGGAACACAGCCTTAAAGACAAAATAATAATAATAATAATAACTACAATGGAAAAACAATCTTATGCCATTGGCACTCCAGGCCTTCCCTCACACATGAACAAGGGGCTGTGAAGATAGACATTAGGTGGCCCAGGTCCCAGGGGTTCCCTGGCACTGAATAATGTGTACTTTCTGTCTATATGCATGTGCTCTCTCTACCTTAAATGCAGTTACCCTGTACTGCCTCAGGTAGGGTGGGACTTGATGTTCCTTTGAAAATAAATTTCTCATCAGCCATGACTTCTCCTGTCCATCTAGTTCTTGTCTGTCAGTTCTTTTTTGTTGTTGTTCCCCTTGCTTTTCTGTGGGCTGAAGGATGTTTCTGCCATATCAAGCTCCATGAGGAGGAGCACCACCATTTTGTAATCTGAGTTATCGTTTAATTATGTGCTTCACATGTTGCTTTATATGACCTTGTTGAAACTGATTTCAAAAATGGGAACTTTATGTATTCTTGTCTTTAGAGACTTCAGTTATAAAGAAATTTCAGCCCTCTTAGTCAATGAAGATCAATGAATAAGGGCTTATGTTTTCATTTTCAAAAGTTTTGAAGTAATAATACATCCAGAAAATGAGTAATTTATGTTTATATATTTATTTTACTCTATTGATTGTAACTATATATTATAAATGAATTAAAATAGATGTTTAAAAAGGAATTAGAATCAGAGACAAAGGGAAGTCTTATGCGGGTTAGTGCTTTTGTTAGAGCATATTAAGAATTGAAATGGGCTTTTGAGGGACTCTCTGTTAATATTATAATTCCCAGAGAAAAGGAATACTCTTGGTAGCAAGGAGAAGCAAGGAAAATACAACTGCCTTGTCTCAGTGGACATGTGTCTCATATCCAGGCTAAGATACCCATTGGGAAAGCACTCTGATATCAACTCCTGCTAACCCTAAGTGGGGTCTGTCTTAATTTCATCTTCATTCCAGTTGGACTACAGATGGGGCATTTGAAGCAAAAGAGATTTAGAAAATATAGACATGGTTGTTGTTTTTTTCTTTGGACATTTGAAAACAGCATTAGCTTACTGTGTAGCTACAAGACAGAACTAGGGTTAAGGTAAATCAAAAGGTTTTTCTTTTTTTTCTGATCTAGTGTCAAAACTACTTCTTTGGTGGTAAAACTGAACTGAACTGACAGGGAGCCTTTTTTGCCCTTAGTGTGACTGTCAGTTTTGCTGAGAAATGGTAGGATATTTCCCTTGAACCCCTCTGGAAGAATTACAAGGTTTATATGTGGTATTAATTTTCTAAAATCCATAAATTCCTGGTCTTGGGTATGTAATAAGGGACTTGTGCCTGGAAAGGATGGCATGTGCATTACGTGGCGGGTGGGATGACCTTCTCCCTGCATGAAAGACTGATTCTACTTTTACTGTTTTGCAGGAAGAGATTCTTTCTTTCTGGCACTGAATAGAATATTTTAAAATTGAATCGCTTTACAAAAGCTCTTGAGAAAGTTTGAGCAATGTCCTTAGGAATGACATTTACTTTTTATAATAGTTTTTATACATTTAAACTGATATTAGTAAAGATATTAGGTTATATTTAAATTTTATTTAAAGAATTACTAAAGCACAGGGTCTGTGAATAACAAATTCTTCATGGCACTTTGGAGTTTTCACTGGAACATTTAAATAGTGTGCAAAATGATAAAGCTGCTGCTACAAATTTACAGATAGATAATCTGATGACCATAAGTATCCAGCACCATCTAGAATAGAGAAAAAACATTAAAATTTAAGTTTAAGACATTTCACTAGGCGATATTGCTTATGTATTTGCTTTTTTCTTATGTATTAGATATAAAGACTTTTTGTTTTTTAAAGATATTTAGTAAAATAAATAGTAATAATAGATACCAGTTGTTGAGTCTGCATTATATCACGTAGTCCTCACAACCCTGCAAAGTCAGGTAGTGGTACTCCCACCTCAAGGGTGAAAATGGCATTTAGAAACAGTGCCCCATTGTATACTCAGGTAGGGACAGAGCTAGGGTTTGAGTCCTTGTCTAGTTCTAAAACTTACTCTCTGTCTGCTATATTCCCTACTAAGGTTATGAAGCTGTCAGGATTTGTTACTTTAAGTATGCAGTTTGGAAGATATGTTACTTAATAATAATGTTACCCATAGTAATACATTTGTGGTTTGTGTCTTGAAATTAAAGGCCATATTTGATTTGGGTAGTATTGTTGAAACGGTTTGCATAATTTGGCCCAAAGACAATTGAATTGATAATATCTTAACCTAAGGATAAATAATCAGTGTTTGTATTGCTACTAGGTACTCTTGAGATTTGAAAGAGTTTCAAACTCAGATAGAAGCATATGCTAAACTTGCATAAGAGCATAACTATCTAAAAATCTAAATATCCAGTAGCTAAAAAGGGCACTTAAAAATTCTAACCACTTTTAGAGGCTAATGTTATTCTGTCTTACAGTATAAGGACTTAATGTGATTGGTATTTTATAAAATATTTGTGAAGTTTTAATAAGACTGGTTCTAAAATATATACTTTGAAGAAAGCATTTGTATTAATTTGGTTTTGTTCACACCTGTGTCCATCATATTAATTTATCAACATGTACACAATCTGAAACTGTTAAACAAGATAAAAATATTTAAAATGTATACTAGTACTTGAAATCAGATTTTACTAACCTTATATAACTTCTGATACAGTGCTGAAAAATTATTTCTGTTGAAATAAATGATACAGATTATTAGTTGTTACATGAAGGTATTTTTTCATAATTTCTTCTCTTCCTCCACCCATGCCTCCAATATTAGGGTTATTTTATCACTGATGGGTTGGTAGTGGTGTAATAATGTATATTAGGAGGTAGAGATAGTGTGGTTCTGTTATACCTAAATGCTGATAAATTGAATCCTCAACTGTCTTTTCTGCAATATAGAGCTTGAATTCCTCCCACTTGACCCTTGATGGTCTGATGAGAACATTTGAAGTGGTAGGAAGCACTAAATAATCACTTGAGGGCAATGAAACTTGTAAGAAGGAAAACATGGGTGAAATCCAGTTCCTTTTTCAATATTGGAATTAAGAGGATTTGATTTGTTGGCTTCTAAGTAGATTAGAATACATACATGTTATATATCATTTTAATTGACATTAATTTAGATATTTTTTTAAAGGAATACACCTTTCATACATTTTAAATGAAAGCAAACTTGGGTGGAAATCAAAATGGAAGTCTCAAGGTAATTTGTAGCTTTCCATCAAGTTAGCTGATGTTTTGTGCTGAGGAGATAGATATGTTGCCTTGAGATCAGGCCATTTCTAGCTTTGGTAGTTCATGGCAGGCTTTGCTTACTGCTCTGTGAATTAGCCATAAGACAACATAAGTTTGAGGTGATATTTACTGTTTGAAATTCTTAACCTAATATTGTATATATTTCTGTAAGCTGAAATTTTGTTAAATACCATGGGCCTTTATGAAAATGCCTCTTCAGACCTGCAGAAATTCTGATCCAAAGATCTTGGAGGAAATCAAGCTTATTATTCATGAGCTCTAAATTGGGTAGATTAGTTGGGTTCAATTCTGCCATATATTTTTATGGTTCCCAAGAATTATTCTTACCGTTTCTGAGATTAAATGTCACTTTTATCAATATAATCATAGAATGAAATCTTACCCCAAGGAAGCCCTAAAAATAAAAAAATTAATAACATTATCTCGAGTTTATTAATACATTTATAGTTTATAATAGCTTAAAAATTAATATGGACTTACCAGGAGTTGGTTCAAAATAGAAGTGACTAACTGTAGGAGAGGAAAAGTCAACAATCAGTGCTATCAATGGATTTATTTTTTAACTTTTAACTTAGTTATGTAAGTTAAAATATTTTCTATATAAAAAATCTTTGTTTTTTTTATTATTCTTTTAAGAGCAATTAAGTTTAAGATATTTACATTGATGGTTTTTTTTTAAAGATTTTATTTATTTATCTATAGAGGGGAAGGGAAGGAGAGAGGGAGAGAAACATCAATGTATGGTTGCCTTTCGTGCGTCCCCTACTGGGAACTGGCCTGCAGGGAACTGGTCTGCAACCCAGGCATGTGCCCTGACTGGGAATCGAACCACAATTGTCTGGTTCGCAGGCCCGCGCTCAATCCACTGAGCTACACCAGCCAGGGCTAAAATCTTTGTTTTTAAAGACATTAATTACATTTTACTGCTTAGTTTTTTATTTGCATAAGATTTTTATTTTTATTTATTTATTTTAAAGATTTTATTTATTTATTTTTAGACAGAAGGGAAGGGAGGGAGAAAGAGAGGGAGAGAAACATCAATCAGTTGCTTCTCACAGACCCCCAACCAGGAACCTGGCCTGCAACCCAGGTGTGTACCCTAACAGGGAATCAAACCAGTTACCCTTTGGTTCACAGGCCTGGTGCTCAGTCCACTGAGCCACACCAGCGAGGGTGCATGATGTAAGATTTTTAAATGAATATGCAATATATAGATTTAAATTATCTTAATTCTGTCAACTATAATTTAAACATGGGGAAATTGGTAAAAAAGCTACCTGTAATACCAAGACACTTTAACATCTCAGTTAACAGAAGGCTATTTAAGTGACTTCCACATTTCCCTTAATACTGTTGGTGTTAATAAATGGTAATAAAGAAAAAAACAGCAGGCAAAAGTAAGTATTTTTCAGCCAGTTTCACTGGAAAAGCATTGCTTTGTACCTTCCATATGGTCCTTCTTTAAAAGACTGGCAGTTTACTCAAGAAATTGATCTTTCTACCAAGAAAGCAGATCTCTTTAGTTATAGAGCTCTCAGGTTAAACACTGGCCTGAAGTTTTCTTGATCTGAGATGACATTTGTTCTCTTAGGATGCCTTTTCCAGCTCCCTGACTTAACTAGGATCACTGGGAGAAAAAAAATCTTGCAATCATGAAGTTACAGCAGTTCTATAAATTATTCTGTCAGGATTCTTTCCAGGATGGGCTGTGGCCAGCAGTGCTTTTAAAAAGTTCAGAAAAAAAATATGTAGATATTGTTTGGATCTGGGTAATTTGAATGAGTCATGTGTCTGAGGAGTCAGGATTTTCACTGGAAGGGAACCTGGTGCTAAATACATGTATTTACCGAAGGTCACACAGATAATTATAACGATGAGATTAGAATTTGGACTTTGCAACCACAGGCTAGTGCTCTTTAGCCTCATTTTGATGTAAGGATGAGCTTGCTAATCTTGCAGTTACCAGTCATCATTGAGGGAAGTAGTTGCCTAAAACATTTTTAGTTGGAAATATGGAGTTTTCATTTTCCTTTTGGATTTGGACATAATGCTGATTAAATAGAACAGATCGTAGGATGAGGACTTAGCTGTTTGAACTCAAAAGACTTAGGTTCTTAGTTAGGCTTGGAAGCCGCTTGTTTGATCTTAAACTTTCTGGGATGCTTTAGTATTCTTCACGATGGTTGACTTTAAATAGTCAATTGAAGAATCTTGAAAATTTTATCTTAGGCACAGAAATGATTTAGGTCTAACTTCTTGACATTTTTATGAAATAGTGCATGTCCCTGATTCTAAGATACCATAATTGTATTAAGTGTACCATTTAGATAACAGTAATTGAAAGAAAAAGGAGATCTAGATGAAATGTATATATCTGTTGTGAGATGTATCTTGATTTCAGAAAATGTTTAAGTGTGAATAGTATTTTTTAGACTGGGAAATAGAAATTTTTAATGTTACCTTTTATAATTCCATTGAAGTATTTCTCTTGTGTTTTTGTAAATTGAGATTCCGAATAACTTACTGTATCAATAAAAGGCCTCCTCAAAATGTTGAATGATGTGCGTGCAATTCAGTTAAAAAATTACCTGTTAGGATTTAGATGTGATAATCTTTAATGCATTATGTTTATGCTTATGCTTTGTTAGTGAAGAGTCATCTGTTTCATCTTTCCTAAAGCAGTTTATTCTGTAACTCTTTTGCTTCTTCACTTTCACACTCATCAATGATAGAAGAGGTTGTTTTCTTGATTTATAGTTTGGATGAAATGAATAAATAAATGTAGAACTGTTTGCAGGCATTGAGATTTTTTTATGTCTTTAAATTTAATAGCTGTTCTTTATTTTGTTTCCAAATGAATTGGAATGGTAAAGATAGTAACTTTCATAGTGAACTGGCTAATCTTAGGTAGGGTATGGAATGGAATGTTTTTATAAACTTTATAGATTGACAGTCTGGAATATATTTATTTACCTGTATAAGAGCATTAGGTGTCAAAACCTAAAATAAAGGAAATAAGCAATCAAGGAGGTATAATGCAGCATTTTATCTATTTTATGTTATATATTTTATATTACCTTGATTAATAAAAGCATGCTTTTTAGAATTCTTAGATTTCTAAAATGTCATTATGGTTCATATTCACTAATCTTTTAGGTAAACCCCCACAGCCAACTCCCCTGTTTTCTGTCATGGGCTCCAGAGAGCAGGGACCTCTGGAAAGATCAGCACACTTAGGCTTACTGGATTGGAAAAAAGCTGTATTTTGGGGTCACTTCTTTATGAAAGAAAACTTCAATGTCACTTCCTGTAATTTTAGGAAAAGTTGCTGTCATATACACAACTTATTTTTTGGTTTGTGACTGAGTCAGTTTTGTCATATGTAATTATTCCTCATTCAATAAAATCCCATCAAAAGTAAAATTTAAATAATCCTTTTATACCATGACCATAACCTCAAATCTAGTTCAGAGGCTTCTAAAACAGATTCCATCTTAACATGAATGCATTTCCCCCCAGTCCATTAAAGGCAAATGTAAGCATAAAATTTAAGAGGTATAATGGACTAAATAAATAATTTTCACTATTTTATATTCAAGAAGAAAGTAAGGCTCAAAGGAGTTTGAGATTAATCCAAAGTAGTAAGTGGCAGAGCTTGCATCCCCAGGTTATTTGACTTACAATAACCTTGCCTTTGCTACTGGTCCCTTGGATTTCCTCTACATAATCAAGGAAATTTCAGGTTCAGGTAGTTCAGTTTTCAAGGGTATGTGAGATTTCTACATCAAAGGACTCAAGTCAGACAAAATGTCCATAACTAATGATCCCCAAAAGGGAATGGTAACCATTAATTCTCGGTATCAGATTTTCTCTGATTAAAAGAATTTTCAAGTTTTGCATTCATTTAAATACTTTTAAAAGGGGAACTTTAAGTATAATTACCTGATTTGGATCATACGGAAAAGGAATGGGAAGGGGAATTGGAATCTACAAAAAAAGAAAAGTGAAATTGTGAATAAAATAAAATGTGAACATGTTGTTTTGGTGTGTTTTTTCATTCATCCATCTAGCCATCCATCCAGTATTGTATTGAGCAATTATGGGCTCTCAGGGAGCCCACACTCTAGTTGTGGAGGTTAGCTTCTAATGGATTTTAAATAATTTTTGTCTTTCAAGAGGTATGCTTAGTTTGCTTAACTTGTCTAACCTAAAGCCCAGGAATCTTTTCTACATGTTGATGATTATTGCAAATCTATCAGTTCCCCCACAGGTCATTCTTTGCCTGATACTTAATGCTATTCTGCCACCTGGTGGAAGGAATAGTTCCATTCCAAATAGTGATTTCTTTTTTCACATAGATTAACATAGTTTTCTAAATAACAGAGATTGCCAAATTCTTTTTTTTAAATCTTCAACATGCTTATTGATTTTTAGAGAGAGGGTATGGGAGGGAGAGAAACATCAATCTGAGAGAGAAATATTGATTGGTTGCCTCAACCTCAGCATGTGCCGTGACTAGGAATCCAACTCCTAATTACAAACCAAGACTCCAGGATTTTGCATTAATTTAAAAACAAATCATACTGAATGTGAGCCCTCAGAAGGGAAATGATGCACCTAGATTTAACTAGAACCAAAATAATTAGCAATTAATTAAAATAGAAGTACTTAAAAACTTAGTGGCTAATACTCAGGAGGTGAAAATATTAAGAAGAATGCTCCCCTGAGGACGGTAACTTCATTGACAAATTTACAAAAGCCTACTTAAAGTTAAGAAATCACTTGAAATTAAACACAAGCAAAGGGAAGGAGTGTGTTACATTTAGATAAAAAAACAAAATTATGCAAAATCATTTATATTACTATTTAAATTTTAGGTGATAAACAGGAAGTTAAGCAAGATACTATTTTAAAATGTGTGCGAACTTTCCAAAGCATCGTTGCTTAAATGCTGTCTAAATGTATCATGTTTCCAACCTGTGTTTCAGCCTCATTGTACTGGTCATTTGTCCCCCAAGTTGCTGTGTCCTTTGTAGGTCTGTCCCAAGCATTTGTGGTTCCCTGGGCCTGGAGTGCCCCACCCAACTGCCCATCCTTCAGGACCTGGCCAGAAACCATCTCTGAGTGAATTTTTTGATCCACAGTCTAAGCCGCCTTTGTATTTACACCCAGAAGCACTTATCAAATCACAGTTTTTTCTTCTGTGAATCTCTCTTCCTCATCAGACTTATACTTTTTGTATTCCAGTTCTCACTATAGACACAGTAAATATTAACTGAATGAATGCTGTCTGTACCAACAAAAGCATGACATATAGAATAAAGGCAATTCTATTACATATTTAGCATGGTTCTGGCCTTTATTAAATAGAGTATTCTAAGAATCCAGGTATTAGGAAGATGGGAGAGGGTCAAATAATAAGGGAGAACTAATGATATTGTTGACCAGTGAGAAAAACTTAGGGAGAGCTGGAAAAACACTCCAGCCACAAGAAAGCAACAAAGGGATTTAGAAAAACAGAATGGGTATTACAGCAAGAGGTTAATATTCTGTTCATGTACAGTGGCTTTATCGTAGTTAAAGTAATTCAGTATAAACACCTTTCTGATGGCAAGTGGAGAAAGACACTGGAAAAAATCTCTGAGGACTTGAGGGGAATTTGTGGCCCCCTTGTCACACATCACCAGAAGCTCTGTGGGGAGGGGATGTGTGCAGCTAATGCCTGGCCATCTCACAGAGCTTCGTGGTTCTATATTAAAATTTGGAAATGCTCATGATCATTACCCAACTAATAAATGCTTTTTTCACATTTGGAGATTTCCCAAACCCCTACTTACCGGGGGCAGTTGTGGGGGTGGGAGAAATGGAAACTGGGGGAAAAATGGTGGTCCTTGTAGTGGGTAAAAATAAAACCTCTGCAAAAAGAAACATGATGTCAGCGATTACAGGCAACTGCAAACTTTTAAAATGACAAACACGTCATTTGAAAATACAACTAGAAGCTTACCTGACCACTGGAACTCTCTCCAGATTGTTCAAGCTTGTAAAACAATAACAGCAATATGGTGAAGCAACATGTGACAATACATTAATCACTACAAAGAGATTTTATTCTAACGAGAATAGGTAACAAGCCACTACTGAGCTAGTTCTTATAAGTCATTTTACAGACAGGAAAGCCATGGGTTAGTTATTTTCTCAAGGGCTCACACTTAGCAAATGGTGCATGAAGCTGGGATTTGTACAAGCAGTGCATTCCAAGACTACAACTTTCCTGGACTCCACTTTCCTCTTTTGTGAAATGAAAGCATTTTCAAAGTGCTTTCTAGCCCAGACGCATTGCCTCTAGACTGGAAGTGGAGTGCACAGCTGGCAGGGAGTACTCACAGGGATGGGCAGAGCAGGGACAGTGCTCAGAAGGACAGCCAGGACGAGAAATTTCATTCTGAAGAAAGAGTCTGGAATGGAAGGGTTAGATCATTTCAAGGTTTTTCTATCTAAGTCCTATTCTTGTTATAAATAGGCTGTTTAGTTAGAGGGTTTGAAATAGTGGTCAGGCTAAGTTCTGCCTCTAGATTCAGATTTTGTAAGCCTAGACAGTGCTTTAAAACACTTCAAATGCCTTTAGGTAAGAGTAGCATTCTCCGGCTCATAACATTGCATACAATTCCTACTCTTCCTCATAATCTCATAGTTCAATCTATACCTGTTTGGTCCCTGAAGTTATTTGAATTTGTGATCTCTACCCACAGGTCTTCAAACGCCATTGTCCTATTATCCTTAGTACTGGAAAAGTACCACTGTGAAATTTCTTATGTAATATACAAATAAATCCACACTGAGCTTCTGCTGCCATGAGACTCACCACCAAATGGCCGCAACATCGGGATGCTGTTACTAGCAATTATAATTTCTCATGAAGAAAATCATGAGTTGGTAGACAATAAGTACAATATGAGTAGATTCCATAAAGCAAATAAATGTCATCTTTACTGGCCAGCTGATTCTGAAAGCAAACCTTTATATGGTCTTCAATCAGTTTTAATTCAAATGAACTTACCTTGTGAGTTTCCGAGCAAATCACTGAACTCTAGAACTGAATTTTGGAAGAAAAATAAATCAACTTCATCATGTTCTTATCCCTACCATCTGAAGCAAGTTGTATCTCTTCATGTATAGGTTGCCCATCAACTATATTATTTGTGTTTGAAACAAAGCAGATTTGCCTTTGTGCTATTCTATTGTGCCTGAATGTAGGCAACCTATCCCCCTTTCCCTCCTTTTTTGTATTCCCCTTTGTCTTTTTCTTCCTTAGATTCAAACCCTTGTATTTCTTTTTATGTTTATTAATTGGAACTATTAGGAATCATTAAGTTATCCAGCACAGGAACATCTTACATTCTTTTACCTAGTGCAATAGAATCAGCCTAAATATGCCCCTTTAAAATTACCTTTGCTTCAAATGGCCCTCGGCGCAAGAATTCAAGGAACAGTGTGGTCTCCTAGAATCTGACACCCATCTGGTATTTAAGCTGTGTTACTAATTAATGCCTTTATGGTTATGGGCAATATGAGTCACAAAATTCAAAGCTAAGCTGAATAACTGTTTCCAGACTAGAAACTCCAACTTATAAAGCATCTCAATTACACAGAGATAGGGTTATAGACTGATTACTGAGAAAATAACTTCAACTCCTTGGTTGGGATTAGACTAATGTCTTTATCACAACCCACAATTAAAAACTGTACCCACCAAGAATATTAAAGTGCTTCTACAATATATCATTTAGGGCAGCAATACACACAGGAGCCTTAACAGAAAAATTTAAGCTTCTATAATTTCCTATTATTAAATAATATTTTTCATTTCAAAATGAAAATTATTTTCAATTAACAGTTTTAGTAAATATCTAGGTAGTGTTTTTAGCATTAAAATCACTTTTTACTATTCCAAAACATGTAAAAAAAACTTGAAAATGATCATTTAGGTCAAATTAATACCTCCATATACAATTTCACTGTTCCCAGAAAATTCATAATTAGAAACTTGGTTTGTAATTAGTTAAGACCTCTTAAGACATTTCTTTGAGGCTTTCAATTGAACTTTACGTAGACATTATATGGTATGATGTGGTCTAGTTAAGAAGTGACCCATTGAGCTAAGAAAACAGATAAAAACAATTTTAACGTTAATCAGAGAAGATTATTTTGACATAGAAAATTAGGGGCACATTCTCTCAGCGGTTATCATAAATGAGGCTCTTAACAACATATTTTTAATTGAAGAAATAATCAAAGATAATTATATTGATGTCTTTTATTTTCTGTAGGAAAATATATTTAAAAAACCATTTTATTTTATTTGAAATATTTTAAGTAAAATAAAGTGGGTGACAGAGCTTGGAAAAGTCTATTATAGTACCTTTTCTACTGTTGCAATCAGGCTTTTACTGTGTTAATAGTTACCAGAGAAGAGATCAAATGAGAACACATTTATGATCAATTTTCTTGCTTTCAATTTGCAGTACTAATATTTATCTCTGACTATGTTGGACATCAAGACTATGTTGGAATCTGCACTGTCCATGTTATCTTCACTATATTTTGAGGACATGAAATGTGTAGAAATTTTTCAGAGCTACCATCTCTCTAAACATATATGGATGGCTGTGTAAAAGCTAAAATTAGTTGCATCAAGTTGTGTGTAATCATTCACATTTTAATTGAATTCGGTAAAGGCCTCCCCTTTTTTGTGTTTAAACTTACATTATGACCAAGGACATTCATGAGCAACTACCATCTAACAACTGAATATTTGTTTCCCATAGGAAGCATTTTTTCCAGTCACACTCACACATTTTTTTTTAAGTTGTAGGGTCTAGGAAGCATAATTGTAATTAGACGCGAAGTGTGAGCCCTGGGTTGCTCTTTAAATAAATGATAGAAATAAACTTGAATAAGCATTTGGGATTCTATGAGTTTTTATTAGGGTATTAAGACATTGAAAATATTATACATTCACAACAAATGAGCATTATTCCATTTTCTTGACATGCATATTATATCATTAACAAAATGAATGTGTCTCACAAATGGATGCAGAGTGATGTGTTAGCTCCTGTTTACAAACAGCATACAGTATTTTGCATTTATTGACTTAATATTAAAGTTTTATTTCCAAAGTTAATGTTAAATGCCTGGTGTACATACAGTTATCAAGCAATTACTCTCATTGTCCTCTCAGACATGCAAACATTTGCTAAATTAAATCTACAAGTGTCATGGCTGCACGTATTTCAGAAGTGGCCAGAACAGAGGAGGATGCTGGAAAGTTTGAGTTCTCTCAGATCTTAAAACAGGAGATTTTCATCTATGTCTTCTGTAAAAAGTGAAAACACAACAAAGCACATTTTTAGAAACTAGACAGAGGAGTAATATAAGCAAATGACAGAGCTGAAGGATGGGAGCAGTAATTACTAAGGCAGCACGGTGGTTCTCAGCCTTGGTAGGACATCAGCATCACCTATGAAGCATTTAAAAAATATAACTTCAGGCTTCTCCCTTGGCTTCCTGAATCAGAAGCCCCAGGGGTAGCCCAATGGTAGGTATATTTTTAGAAAGCTCTGCAGGTAGTTCTGATACAGGGCAGAGAACCACTGGTAGGGGATGTTGAGGGGAGGCCTGGCCAAGAGAGCAAGTATACTAATCTATAGGGCTGCTAAAACTTAATGGAAATAAGGAGGTGTAGAGTGCCATTACATCAAATCTCCAATCAAATAATTAAAAAAGAACATGCTGCCACACGTGTAGAGGAAAACAGCCTCCTCCGGGGGCTGTAAGACTACTCCTTACCAGTATGGCTCACCCTCACTCAGTAATTGTGGAGCAGATACTTAAAGCAGATTACCTGGAAGCATACTAAACTACTGCACCAGGTAACTTTCCTGCCCAATATAAATCTTCCTCTTGTTCCAGGAGTGGGAAAGAGTATGAGCTTTGGTATATTTCTTTTGATCAGAGGCTTCATTTGTAAAATTGGGATAACAGTCTCATTACTTATAAATTTACTTATTTAGCATATATTTGAATAGGCTTATATATTTGAATATATCTTGAATAAATTTATATTTTTAATCTATATCTTGAATATGTTTATTATTCTTTTCTCTAATGTAACTGCCCTAGTTCAAGTTCTCATCAACTCTTGCTTGAATTTATCACAACATCATCTCCACTGTCCTTTGGCTTCTCCACAACATAACCAAAAGAATCTTTCTTAAATACAAATTCAATGGAACCACTCCCTTGTTTAAAACACTTTGGTGTGATCTCTCAGTACTCCTAGGGTAATGTCTTTAAATGGCTTGGTAGGACCTGCATGATCTGACTCGTTTACCCTATTAGTCTCATTTGGAAGGCTTTTCTAAAGATTAGTGTGATATATGTCAATAAGTACACCTATGTTATGTCCTGGGTAATGAATAAGACTCCTCCATCTCTTAATTGAACTGCTTTTATACAGGAAAATGAGACCTGCTGGGTATGAGTGGCATGCCCTAATTCACATAGCTAGTTAATGACAGAGCTGGAATATCTCAGCACATTTAGTTCACATCAAAGGCAATTAAAATTCAGGAAAACCCTGGCTAAAATTATCTTGTCTTCTGTTGAATTCTTAGCCCCAAGGGAATAAAGGGTATACTTACAAATAGATATATATATTTTTTGCTTTCTTGAGCTGCATCCCAAAGCAGTAACTTGTTTACTTGTTCTGACCAAGTGTTTCATATCTGCTTTATTGCCTTACTGTGTGAATATTTTTCCCTTCTTCAAAATAATGTAATCACAGCCAAACCACAGTGAACAAACAAGACCATTAGGAGCTTTGCGAGTCACTGAACCTTAAGCTCTTCCTGCTCCTCCCAGACAACAGACCAGCACAGAGCCTGAGTGAGTCTACGGGCCGAAGAGCTGCTAAAAGTTTCCAAAGAACAGCAAAGCATGACTTCTTTCTTTAAATAAATGGTTCCAATTTACCTTTTGACCCCTCCTTTTAAATCAAGTTCCGTATAGAAGGGCATACGTAAGTACTTCTTGCTCCAGCTAGTTATTCCTTCTTTTAAATGGAGTGGAATAGGTGGGGCAGCTGTACTTGGGTATCTTTTAACATGAGAATTGGAAAACATGGGACCATTTTTATGGATATATTTGAATTTGTAAGTACTATGATTATAGATTAGGTGTTAGAATATTCTATAATGCAAGAAATTGGCATTATTTGTTTGAATCTGAGTTTTTTGTCTCTATTTACTTTTTTTATTGTTGTTCAATTATAGTTGTCCCAATTTTTCCCCCTTTGCTCTCCTCTGCCCCGCCCCTCCCCAGTCAGTCCCCACCATGGGTCCTTTATACATGTTCCTTGTACATCTGAGTCTTAATAACTTGTTATTTTTTTTTATCAGTGCTGACCGGGTATAAACTGTATGTGACAGCCAGCCTCCAAGATGGCCCCCAGTGATCCGCACCTCCCGAGTCACCTCCCATATTGTAGCAAGTTTGATCTGTGTGACCCTGATATGGCAGAAGTAAAATGTCACTTCTGAGATTAGGTTATAAAAGACAGCAGGGCCTCAGGCTGGGATTCTCTCTCCCTGATCTTTCACTCTGGAGGAAAGAAGGTGTCATGCTGTGAGCAGTCCTGTCAGGAGGACCACGGGCTGTGGAATTGAAGCCTCTTGACAACTGGCCTGTGAGGGATTTTAGAGCAGACCCTCAGCCAGACCCATCTGGGTAAACTTTGGCTGCAATCCTGACCCTTGGAGACTGTGAGAGGGATTTTTAAAAAAATTTTTATTTAGTTATTTTTCAAGTACATTTTTTGTCTATTTCTCCCATCCCAGCCCCCCCCCCCCCCGTCTCCCCCCTCTTTCCCATTCCCTTCCCCCAGTCCTCATCCCTGTGTCTTTCATACTTGTTCCTCAAAATCCCTCCCCATTTATACCCTTAAAGCTTCTAAGCTTTGGGGTCATTTGTTATTCAGTGATAGACAACTAATACCCAGAACTAGTTGCTTACAAAAATATACATTCTTTGTCCATTATGGTGCTTATTTCACAGAATAATATTGAGGACACAAAGAACTAAACTTTTCTGCTTGTCTATTTATGAACAAATAACTAAACCATACTCTTAGCTCTGTCTCTGTAATTTTAAGGCATTATACATATGCATAAAGAATATTTTTAAAGTGAAGGTCACACAAAGTACTTCTTTTTGGGAAATTCTGACCTTTGAGGAACTTACTTTTCTTTACTGTTTAATTACATGTCATCCTAATGTATGTTGTGAATATATGTATAAAACCTCTGTTTCAGAGATTTGATGTTCACTGTTCATCTATATTCTATAAGCATACATATTTTTTAACATCTTTTAAATCTTAGTTTTTGTAAACATGCTTGCTCATAAAAATAACACTAAGGAAAAGAAAAAGAAGTAGATTAAGACATAACCGAGTAAAACAAATGTCTATTTTTAAATACTTCCACTGTGGGGGTAAAGAAAGAACCTTATTTTGTTTTCTTTTATTTTTGTCACTGAAGAAGAAGTAATTGGTCACTTTTGGCTTAAAGAAATAATACTGGGACACAACGTGTGATGTAAGACCCAATTGTCAGTGTGTTGGTAATGAATTCCCCAATGGTAGAGCAAGACTAGCTATTTTACTCTTTACATATGACTTGTAAAAGTTCAGCTAAGTACCCAGGTTAAGAAAGGATATAAAATCCTTCCTTCAGCAGGGCAGTCTTCTGAGTTCTGGACAAGATTGAGGTGTAGGCAGACATACCTCACTTCCTCACACAACCAAAGAAGGATAATAACCAATGTGAAAACAAAGAACAACCAAACTGCCAGAAAATCAAACTGCGTGGAAGTCCCACACCAAGGAATAAAGAAACGTCCATCCAGACTAGTAGGAGAGGTGGAGATATGTAGCCTGGGCAGAGAGGGCACACTCAAGGCAAGGCAGCAGACCACCTGGGAGATCCCATATTCAAGTGCAGATAAGCTGGGAGGAACAATGGGGGAGTGAGATGGACCTTGATACCTAAATTTTAGAGTGGGAAACTGAAAACTTAACCCTTCTGGCTGTAAAACATCTGTGGGCATTGTGGAAGTAGGGGAAACTCTCTGTCTCACACAAGAGTCCATTGGAGGGGCTCATAGGGTCCTAAAACATACACAAACCCACCCACCTGCAAATCAGCTCCTGAAAGAGCACAATCTGCTTATGGAAGTGAGGGAAGTGACAGAAAGTGGGACAAGATCTGAGCAAGCAGCATTGTTCCATTTCTGACCTCTCCCCCACAGCCCCACAACACTGTACGAGGGTTGCTCTGCCATGGCAAATACCTAAGGCTCCACCCCTGAAATGTAACAGGTGCACCAAGACGAAGAAGTATGGCCCAAGTGAAAGAACAGAAGAAAACTCCAGAAAAAGAACTAAGTGAGAGGGAGATAGCCATGCAGAGTTCTGATGCAGAGTTCAAAACACTGGTAATCAGGATACTCAGAGAATTGATTGAACTTGATCACAAATTGAAGGAAGAAATGAAGGCTACACAAAGTGAAATGAAAGAAAATATACAGGGAACCAACAGTGAGAGGAAGGCAACCAGGACTCAAGTCAATTATTTGGAACAAAAGAAAGAAAGAAACATCCAGCTGTAACAGAATAAAGAAACAAGAATTCAAAAAAATGAGGGGAGGCTTAGGAACTTCTGAGACAACTTCAAATGCTCCAACATCCGAATTATAGGGGTGCCAGATGGATAAGAGGAAGAACAAGAAATTGAAAACTTATTTGAACAAATAATGAAGGAAAACTCCAATCTGGCAAGGGAAATAGGCTTCCAGGAAGTCCAAGAAGCTCAGAGAGTCCCAAGGAAATTGGTTCCAAAAAGAAACACACAAAGACACATCATAATTAAGTTACCCAAGATTTAAAAAAAGGAGAGAACATTAAAAGCAGCAAGAGAAAGGAGAGAGTTACCTACAAAGGACTTCCCATAAGGCTATCAGCTGATTTCTCAAAAGAAATCCTACAGGCAAGAAGGGGCTGGAAAGAAGTATTTAAAGTAATGAAAGTCAAGGACCTACATTCAAGATTATTTTATCCAGCAAAGTTATTTAGAATGGAAGAGCAGATAAAGTGCTTCCCAGATAAGGTCAACCCAGAAAAAGGTTAAAGGAGTTCATCATCATCATCAAGCCCTTATTATATGAAATGTTAAAGGGACTTAAGATCAAAAACTAAGAAATAGAAGATCAAAAACTATGAACAGTAAAATGAGAACAAACTCACAACTATCAACAACTGAACCTAAAAAACAGTAACAAAAACAAACTAAGCAAAAAACTAGAACAGGAACAGAATCACAGAAATACAGATCACATGGAGGGTTATCAGCAGGGAGATGGAGGAGGCAGAGTGGGGGGAAAGGTACAGGGGAATAAGAAGAATAAATGGTAGGTACAAAATAGATGGGGGGGTTAAGAATAGTGTAGTAAGTAGAGAAGCAAAGAATGTATATGTGTGACTCATGGACATGAAGTAAGTGGGGGGTGGGAATGCTGGTAGTTGGGGGACTACAGGGTGGAGGAAGATATAGGGGAGCAAAAGACTGGGACAACTATAACAGAAAAATCAATAAAATATACTTAAAAAAAGGACAGTCTCTGAGATTAGGCACAACTCTCTGGATTTGCATCATTTTCTCAGGCTTACCAACTGCTGAGATATCAATGTAGTTATTCCCTAAATATTCACATTTGCTACTCTTCGAAATCAGAGTATCATAAAGGGAGTAAAACCTAACCTTGCCATGATAGGGCCTACTCTGAAGGCATTCTGTCTGGAACATTGCCACCTTGCTGTGTCTAGGTTTCAGTTTGAACACACAGAAGGACCTAGCTCTATGAGGGCTACAGGGCTCAGGGTTTGTCTGGACAATGATGATGAATTTACCTTCTTTAAGTCCAAAGCAGTGGCCCCACTCCTTCAGGGTGATGTGCTTATCTTTATTGGGGTCACACTCATTGAAGAAGCGAGTTATGCAGTGTTCCATGGGCACCAGAGAGGCTCGTAATGGAGCCAGTTCGGAACGTGTCAAGACTCTGCAACGATACAAATGACAGCCTATTAACTGAGTGGCTTGTGTATGAAAGTTAATACTTAGAACCACCAGGGGCATTTTTCTTTCACGAGGTTGCTGAATATGGTGAATAAGTAGTACACTCACAAAAAGTTGTAAATGAAATAAACTATTTATGAGTAAAACAAACAGCTTTTGGGGTGTCAATTCACAAGTTTTTCTTCTTCATTATCCTTTATCCACCCTAAATTTATAGGGGTGCACCCCAGCAATCATGTTTGTTCAATCTGGTCATGCCTGAGTGTTGCAGATGTAGTCACTTGACCCAAAGTGGGTCAATCAAATTATCTTGGGACTTTATGATCAACATGAGAGTTACGAGAGTCTCTATGGGAGGCTGGACCCTAACAAGTGAACTTGGCAGGCTGGGGTGTGGCCATAATCTGTTATTTTCAAAGCAGTTGTACATTTAGACACTTAACCACATTTGTTTGGCATTTCAGTGTTCTAGACTGAAATTGGGAAATTTCCTAAATCTGTTTAGAATGTTCTTTGTACAGATAACTAGACATTATATTAGGGAGATGACCTAGTTATGGGAAACTAAAGAGTTTTTACCTGTCCATAGGATTTTGGTCAAGTTCACTAAACTGCCAGTGTACAGGGTACACGTACATATGGTAGTTTTTCTTAAAGTCCCTTAAGAGAAGGTCGATGGAATGGTTCCCAGGCAAGAGCCTCTTTTCATCCAGGTAAATTTTTTTGACCTGTAATTAGGAAGGGAGAAGATAGAACATCAGAAAATCACAGAAGTGTAATCAAATGATCACTTGCTAAACCTTACTTGAAGGGTAATAATAATGTGTCAGATGAAAACAAGCCCAGGCCATGTCTCTTGTATGAGACTAGAAGAAATGCCTTCTAATTTTTATAGCTTTTCTTCTTTCTACATTGAATAACAGCTAACATTAAAGAAAATTTTCAGAACAAATTTATCTTGTGGCATGAAATGTGACCATCCTTATTCTGTTCACCTGTATGTGCTAACCAGGCTCAGGGAGACAAAGTGAGCTTTTGCTGTATGCAGAGGAACATAGCACCCCTCCCCCATCACACCCTTTGATATCTTTTTTCCTCGGGCCTTGTAGACACACACTTAGGGAGCTGATTGTGGATAACTTACTTTATTCCTTTGCTTCTCATTTAAATATCCAGTATGTTTAGGGTCAGACTCATAAAGTTGTATGAGGATATTCTTGAGCCAGTCTCTCATTCTTAAAGGAAACTGAGTCACTTCAAAGTCCGTACAAGGAGGAATAGCTGTTTCAACCAGAAAGTAAATCAGTGTTAACCTTTGGGGCCCACCCTTGTCCTCAGAACAGTTTAAAAAACATGTCAGATTCCAGCTTCCATTCAAAGAAATTCTGATTTAATTGCTCTGGGTTGAAGCCTGGGCATCGGGATGTTTCCAAGGCTCCAGAAGTAATATTGATGTGCAGCCATGGCTGAGAACCACTTCTCTAGAACCAGAGACTGGAATTTAGAGGTGGAGGACACAAGAACTATTTATTAGAGAAAAAAGGAAAAGGTAGAAGTTAGCTTATTCTGTGGTCACAATGTAATAATTTTAAATCTTAGTGACTTAAAGGAACAAAGTTTTTTTTTCAGTTCTATTGAGATATAATTGAAGTACAACACTATAAATTTAAGGTGTGCAGCATAATGACTTGACACACATATATTGTGAAATGATTACCACAATAAATTTGTTTAATATCCATCATATCATATAGTTCCAAATTTTTATTGTTTACTTGAGTAGAGAGCTTTCAGGATCTACTCTCTTAGCAAGTTTCAAATGTACCAGACAGCAGTGTTAACTATAGAGATATCATGTGGTACATTACATCAAAGATTTGCTTCTCGGACCTGCTACAAGTCCAACACCAGTTGGCAGGAGGGCTCTCTGCTCATTGCAGTGTCAGTGGGGCTCAGAGTGATGGAGACTCCACCATCTCAACACTATCTCAGCACAAGGAAAAGGGGGCATGGAGAACCGTGCACCCGGTCTGACATGCTGCTGTCCAGAATGCATACGGGTGATTTTTACTCAAATTTCCTTGGACAAAGAACCCACATGGCAACATCTAAAGTCAAGGGGGCTGAGGAGCTGAGAAGTTTAATACTCTCATGGATCCATAAGGAGAAGAGAAATGGAAATATTAGAGAGCCCAGCTAATGTGGAGAATCACTTAGCAAGGCAATCCAAAGACAACTGAGAATATCCTGGGAAAGGAAGACAATTTAAAAAAAACTTCTGGAAGAAGATTTGTCATTAAACTTCTTGGCAGAGGCTTAACTTGGTGAGAGAAAAGGACAAATAATTTAGCAAACTTTCATTTCATTTATTAAGTGGATAACATTATGCAGTGGTTCAGAGCCCTGGCCACACATTAGAATTATCTAGGTTACTCCAAAAACCAATAAAAAACAATGCCAAGGTTCAAACCCAGTACAATAAAATTGAAATCTCTTATAGTTAAAGCCTGGGCATTCTTCTTATTTTTGAAAAGTCTTCCCAATTGATTTTAATGCGCAGCCTGAGTTCAGAACTACATTAGTTTTCTCCCATTTGCATGTGTCTGAGTATTATTCAGACATGCAGATTCACCCCAAACGGTCTCAGCAGTGGTGGTTGGCAGTAGTGACAGAATCTTACATTTGCAGGCTCCAAAATAATCCAGCTGCAGCTGGTGCCCCTTTTTGGTCCCCTCCAGTCTGCACTTTGCAGCAAACAGATGACAGGAGCTAGCATAAGTCTCATTGTCAGTCCCACAAACCTAATAAAGACAAGTGTGAGGAAAAGGTCATGTTTCCAGATGTTCATTGGGAAAACACTCTGCTCCTTAAAGCTCATAGTTTGGTAGAACTGCTGTGCCACACATGTGGTCAGGTAGGTGAGGCTATTAAAATCATAACTATCCCACTTGGCACAAAAATATCAACTAAATTTTTACCAGTGGTGATGGCAATTTAGCTTTAGATGAGCCCAGTAGAATGAAAACTGAAGATGTTCTAAGGGTAGAATGAATTTTAAAGTAATTTCTTATAGATCAGTGCCATTATTATCACTTTAGGGCACAGGTGAAATTCTTTGATTTTGCGGGCATTTGTTTCTATTCGATATTAGTTCAAATATTAGATGGTATCCTGGGCTTTTACCATTTTTTAACAAAAAATTCCAATTGCTCCTTTCATTTAAATCACTAGTTGGTGCCCCTTGGAGACCAGTTTGTAGAACACTTACTTGGTCAAGGAGCTTTGGAGGAGGACAAGTCTCTGGATCTTGGCAAACACAGTGGGGTTTTCCCTGCTGGTCAGCCTGACACATGTGTCCTCTTTTACACTGGAAATTCATGCAAGAATCTACAAGGAAGGGTTGGAAAGGATAAGCTAAACTGAATATGTAAACTCAAATTCATCCAGATAATTAGCTCCACCTTCATTAATAAGAGAAAATTTGGGAAAACATTAGAAACCATTTTAATGCAGATTTCAGTTGGGGCCCTATGGCATCAGACTATTTTACACAATAGCCCAGGTTTTCTGTGCACTTTGGATCAGAGATTTAGAAAGAACAAATAACTGTTGGTCTGCCTGAAATGGTCATAGTCTGAAGTCTATAGTGCAATTTTGTACAAGTTGTTCAGATAAGCCCTGAGAATTTTGTTGTTAAAATTTGAAATATTTGTGATTGAGAACTATGTCTTAATTAAATTTGGGGCCTAAATTTACTAGTAAATTAAGGATTGAAGAATCAAGAAGGTAAAATTACTTCTTCTCAGAAGCAAAAGGATTTAGGTAAAAAGAATTCTATCTTTTGCAGTAATATTGCTACAAGACTTCCAGTTTGTAAACACATTCACCCATTGTTATACAGTAGCCCCACCCCTTATCTGCAGGGGATACTTTTCAAGGCCCTTAGTGGATGCCTGAAACCATGGATGATAGTAACCACTTCACAGTATGTTATTTTTCCTATACACACATACCTAGGATAAAGTATAATTTAGAAATTAGGCATTGAGAAGCTACTATTGACCTTCTGATGATACATTAGGAGGAAGATCATTGGCTCTGGGTGATCCTGGATCATTATGATGATGCTGATGGCTGGGTGTCAGGAGCAGACGATGTTGATGGTTGGGAAAATGTAATATTTTTGGACTGCTGTTGGCTGCAGATAACTGAAACTGTGGAATGCATAGCCATGAATGGGGTAGACTTCTGTATATCAAATGTGTGCAAAAGAATGTCTACAATTTATGAGAGATTTCCTTGGGGAGAACTGAGGAGAGGAGAATTCTGTGCAGCAGTAGTCACAAATGAAGGGATAGTGATAGTCAGCATGGCCTGTTCCATCTCTTCCCTGACATAGTCATAAAGAGATTTCTTAGCCCATACTCACCAACATTGTACACCCTCATGTTGCCTTCATTTGAACTTTCATCTTCATTCATTGAGCTCTCTGCTTTTTTGGCCTTTATAATAACAAAAGGAGAAGTTTGAGTCTATTGGAAGGCTATATATAATAATTTATATATAATTTATGTTTTGTATATAATTTATATATAATGTATGTTATATAATTTATGTTTCTACTATGCATATCTTCACAGAGCTTTTCCTATCCTAATCCTTTCAGATCTCAAAAAGAGACAACAGTCACAACTGTGGAAATAAACAGTAATCCTCTGAATACAGGAACTATTTCTATCTTCATCAACTGAATTCAGTCCTGTATCTCTGGAAATCAGTTAATAAAAGTTGGTACTAACAACAGGAGCAAAGTTGGAGCCTCCCCTTTGGATCTGGGAAAACAGCAGAAATATAATATCATCATGCAATTCTGTGGTTAGAAATCTCCGCAAAGCTGCTGGTAAATGTTTCTTAGCAGTTTCTAAAGTGTAAGAAAAATCCCACATTAGAATGACAACAGAGTTCTCAGTAAGTGAGGTTATTATTCACCTTGCCCACCAAAAGCTGTGTCAAGACCTTCTGGTGGGTGTCTGTCAGGGTTTTGCATGGAAGCTCCAAATGACTAAATAACCAAATAGCAACCTGCTTCTCCCCACTCTCTTTGCTGTATCCCAATTACCATTTTTGTGTGTTTTCTTAATAAGTTGTAGCTGAAATCCTTCTTAATCTTTATAGCTAAATTAATAAACATTGCTGGATCTCTTATTATGTTAGAGCATTTTGCAGACCTTACTAATTCAACTTGATAGGATAGGACACTGACAAGGCTTTGGAGCAGCAGTTGTCAGTGTCTCTTACCCCTCGTATCTGTCAGTTTACCATTCTAGTTATCTCCAGGTACTTTCGACTGCAGCATCTGTGTCTTTATGGCTTCAAAGCCATGGAATTCTATTTAACCTGCTTAAAGGACAGACTGCAATTTCTAGGCAATTAAGACCCCTCCTGGCAATTCTCAGCCTGTGGAAATGCCTCAGCTCTCTCACTGTCCAAATGGCTTTCATCAGGTACCTTTGATTAGCTTCTTTTCCTTCCCTGTATAACTTCTCTACTCTTCTTTGTTCCCTGAACTTCAAAAAACAAAACAAAACAAAACAAAACAAAACAAAACAAAACAAAACAAAACACTGAAATTCAGGGCCTGCTTTATAGGGGAACACAAATAAGACAAGCACTTTCAGCCTAATAATGGAGGTGCATAGGAAAAGAAATAATTGTAGTGTATTTAGTAATGTACTGATAGAGATAAGTGCGGGAGACTGGGAGAGTGCAGAGAAAGTTCATGGCTGTTTCTTGAAAAAGCCAACTGCTTTATCAGTGAACATCACCATAAATAATCTTACCCCTTGGGATTCTCCAGGTTCACTGGTACCTTCATTCTCATTCTCATGTGCTCTTTCTCTTTGCTCCTCATGTTTGATGTGATAGTAATTGGAAGTAGCTCTTTCAGCTTCCTGGAAGGCCTCTCTTGGGATGAAGTAGTCTTCACTGACACTGTGTCTGGGGCCATCACCATCATCAGCGGGCTCTATGAGCAAAGCCTCAGAAACAGTCTTTTTCTCCATCTTCTTTGTGTTACTGATAATTTCAAGGCCAAGTTTTTCCTCTTGGCTCTGCCTTTCAGTATCTTGATTGTGCTTATTGATTTTTGAAATAGTTTCCTCTTCCATTTCTTCATTGGAGTTATCCTGTTCTTGTTCTTGGTGAACCTGCTCAAAATCATCTTTCTGCATCTTGCTTACTTGGGTTGGTCGATTAAACTCTTCCAAAATATCATCAGATTGGGTTCTGTCTTCTTCCTGCTTGTTGTTAGAATGCTCTGGGAGAAATTCTCTCTCCTTTTCTTGGTTATCATTGTGGGTGCCAACTGCACCTGGCCCCTTTTCACCTTCTTCTCCATTGGGAATGTTTGGATCTTGCTGGTGGTTTTCTTGATCACTTAGGTCTTCACCATGTTCGCTACTCCTGTTCAACTGAGGATGTGAATCAACTGTAAGCTGTTCTTGTTTTTTTTCTGTCTCTGTGATGGTTTCTTGTTGGTCAAAATCTACAATGGAACTAACATTAGGAGGAAGAAAATCAATGTTCTCTGGGAGTTTTTTCTTCTGAGGTTCACTCACATCTTCTTTTAGGTCCAATCTTCTTTTAGGTACATATTCTTTTAGGTACACACCACTTTCAGTTGGTGTGTACTCCAAATTCTCACGAAAGTCACTTTCACTTTCCTCTTCATCACGTAATACCAGCTCTTGACTGTGACTATGGTCCTGATCTGCTGACTGGTCATGGTTTTCCTCCTTTGACTTTTGTACTGAAGATTTTTCAACCTTAAAAAAAGGAAAGTTTACTTTTAAACAAATGATAATTTAACATATATATCACGTTTACAATTCACAAGCCAACATTCAATATTTATTATTCATTTTCTTCATATAATGTGTAAACTTGTATAATGTTCTTTACATTCTATCGCTACAAGTTTTACTTGAGTTTGAATTTTGTGAAATTAAACAATGACATGGCACCTCAGCCCAAGGAGTAAAACTCATGATTCTTCTAGAGATTAGAGGCAGTTGATATGATCACCTTTAAAGTAACTAAACTGAGATATGAATGAAGTAATCTCTTTGATTATGCTTTGAAATGAAAACCTTTGGAGAATTTGGAAATTATGTTAGCATAACCATGTGACTTTTACCTTAATGTTGGGATGGATTCCTACAGATGCTGCAGTTTTCTTTTCTTTTTCTGCATCTTCAACCCTTAAAATGGGCTCCGTAGTGCTGTCAGGTGTTACTAATGCTTCATCCTGTTGTATCAAACTCAAGGAATCAGCAGTTGGTTGGGAATGACCAGATAAAAACCTTGCATTTGTCTGAAAAATGAAAAACTCATTCGTATTATTTTGTATATTTGTTAATGTTTAAAATTTTTAGTTAGCCTTTTATTGTCAGCATTATGAGTAGTAATATACTTCATTTTTAACATTATTAATTAAAAGATATTATCTATAATTTCTAAGAATACAAATAAATTGTCAGAATATAGTCTTAAGTGGGAACAGAATCTCAATCATGTTTAAGAAAAGTTATACATGTAGAGACTGGGTAGAAATAGAGCAAAAATGACTTTTGAGTTTTGGAATTATTTTCTGTGTTTTTAAACACTTTTATAAAATATTTATACTCTATAATTTTGAAAAATATTGCTTAAAAATATTGTTTTATATTGAAGTTAAATTAACCATAGAGTATAGCATTGTATTTTTTCATAGGATATAGCATTGTATATTTTATTAAGTTAATTACTTACTGATAATTAGAAGAAAGGTTATAAGTCTTTTATTCAGTATTTGGTTCCTTTCTTAATGCTATCAGCCTATTTGCAACAAGAAATCTTTTAATAAAAACAATTTAATGTCAACTAATTAAAAAACTGTGAAACAAGGCACCAAGTCTAGTGTGGAAGAGCAGCTATGACATATTTGACTCCTATTTCTAGCAAGATTGGAGGCATGCTGGAGAAGTTGAGATAAGACACCTCCCTTCAGGTCTTGACTCTCCTATTTACTATTTATCTGTGGTTTTGTTCATCTCTACCCTGACTTCTGTCAAGATGAAGTGAGCAGAAATATCAAGATAAGGTTATGTACCTTAAAATATTTGATAAATTTTAGAAAGTCAGTTACCTAAGTGAAAAATTACTACAGCTAGTAGTAATACCATGCAGGGGTAATATGAAGTGTCTGATATCTTAGGCAGGTATTCACCATAAATCTTTATTAAAGAGATGCTGTGGACACTCGGATGTCAGAGCCGGGCGTCAGTATAAAACTCAACTCCATTTGGAGTGACTTGGCTTTACTGCATTAGCAGGCCCTGTAGTGCTGATTGTGCAATATAAAGAAAGGCTTGACATAGAGGATTTATTATAGATTTGGTTCATTCTCTTGCTTTTTATTATCTTTTCAACTATGAAGAGTGATACTCTTTTTAAATATTTCCAAAGAAGTTATTTTTAATAGAAGAAAAAATGGCAACCAGGTTGGCAAGTTGTTGGCAGGGGCACCATGTAAATCAACAGAGGGAGGAGATTTTAGGTTTATCAGTGGAGAATTGCTCCTCCTCTATGCTTCTTTCCTTCTCAGGGTCCCCTCCTCAGAATGGAAGAAATGCACAAGAACATGGCAGCTTATTTTCTTTTGGAAATATTCTGAAAATGAAATTGTTTCATCATTATGCTCATATCTATATTTATAGCAATATGCCCTCTGGAAATGTGCACAGAATCTTCTAGCCTCACAGAATCAGTTCACTGATTTTGGAAACCTCAGTCAGGAGGGGAAAATTAAACAAGATTTCTAATAAGTCAATCTGTGGGAAGGCATTTTGAGCATGTCCTGTGTCCATGTGATGACAAACTGAGAAAGGGAACATCTGGAATGTGTCTATATGCTAGCATGTCATTCAAACACTTCGTTTAAAGATGTGTTTGATGCCTGTTTACATCGCGGCAATATCTGCAAAGGCAAAACAATTTTTCAAGAGAAAACATGGTTTTGTGGGAGCTCCTTTCCATGCTGAACACAATTTATGCCATGTTTGCAATTTCTGAGGACATTGTATAATTTTAACTTCAATGTGATTCCTAGCAGGGGTCATAAATTCTGCTTCCTAAGAACTGCTTGGTCTGTGTGGCACACGTTGATCTTCGCTGACACATTTGTCAAGCAGAAGCTACCCATCAGCTGTCTAAAAAGCAAGGATAGGATCTTAGACATAGAGAGAGAGAGAGGAGGGACGAAAGATAAATTGCTTTGTTTATTTAAAGAAGCCTTATTTCTCCAATTGGTGAAAAAGAAAAAGAAAATACACAAATCCTTTTGTTTGATTAAAGATGGATTGTACGGATCTTTGGGAGACATTTAAATGATTATCTAGCCATGGTTCCATATACATATACATATACATAAACTTACATGTTACTTTGAGGTTGCTGACATGACATTTGAGGTTGCTCAAATATTTTGATTTGTAAGGCTGATTTACTGCTGTGTGAATGGGTGGGGCTTATATCTGACTGTGAGGAAAAGAATGTTCTAGTCCTGTCTGCTTTTATCATGTCTGCTTGGACAAACCTCCAAGGATGAGTTAAGAACTGCTTTGTGGTTTCTGTACATTTCCTGTCCATAACCCATTGGCTCCTGTTTTTATTACAGACTCAGAATTTCTCATGTAGTATATATTTGACTTGGAAGAAATGGCTGCTGGAGAGTGGGGATGGGTACTCCATATGAGTTCCTTAGATTTTTCATACTCATGTGATGAGCTTTCCCAGGAGAATTTATTTCTTGCTGTTATCTTTGGTATTTGGGCATATTTCCTGGCTAATAAACTGACAATCAACACTTTCAGCTATATATTTAATGTGTCTTATAGAACCTGATACTTCTGAAAGAAATATTTTTTAAAAAGTAACATCTTAATTTTTTTAGTCACCCATTCTTTGCTTGGGCAAAAAAAATGATTTAAATTAAAAAATTTTAAATCCCTATATAAGAACATTTTCTTTTAAATGGAGGATCTCTAAGCTAAATATCAGGAGGGAGGGATGTAATCACAAAAGAAAGAATGTTTACTGGGGACTTCGGCCAAGATGGAGCCATAGGTGGAAATACTGTACCTTCTCACATACCAAATTTAAGGACAACAAAGATTTAGAAACAAAAAACACAACCAAAACTGACAGAAAATTGAACTGTACAGAAGTCCAACAACAATGAACCATTCATCCATATCTGTTAGAGGGGCAGATTGGCGGCTGGCGGAGGAGGTCACAGCAGGAAGAAGTGGTGGCTGCCGGACGAACCCAGGCATGCAGGTGGTGGTTGGAAGATCCCAGGTGTGGGGTGGCAATGGGCAGACCCAGTGAGCACGCAAGGCAGCTGGCTGACCATGGTCACACCTTCATGTGCAGATACACCAAGTGAAAAAATGGACAGTGAGACAGACCGTGCAACCCAGGGCCCCAGTGTGGGGAAAGAAAGCCTAAAAGCACCAATTGAAATAACTTTTGGGGGTTGAGGTGCCAGCAGAGGCTCCCAGCCTCACAGGAGAGTTTGTGGGAGACCCACAGGGTCCTAGAATGAACACAAGCCTACCCGCCTGGGAACCAGCACTAGGAGAGGCCAATTTGCTTGTGGGAAGCAGCAGAGGGGGCCAAAGTTTGAGAGACAGCCCAACAAACACCATTGCCCTTCTCTGACTCTGCCCCCAGTCACAACCCAGCAACTGGATTGACCCTCCCCATGAACACCTAAGCTTGAGCCCCTCTTACATAACAGGTAACAGGCACGACCTGACCAAAACATTATGGCTCAAGAGGAACAGCTCAAAGCCCCAGAGCCAATACTTCTAAGCAACCAAGAGATAGCCAACCTATCAGATGCACAGTTCAAAACACTCGTGATCAGGATGCTCATAAAACTGGTTGATTTTAGTCACAAATTAGATGAAAAATGAAGGCTACGCTAAGTAAAATGAAGCAAAATGCACAGGGAACCAACAGTGATGGGAAGGAAACTGGGACTCAGATCAATGGAATGGACCAGAAGGAAGAAAGAATTGACCAACCAGAAAAGAATGAAGAAGTAAGAATTCAAAAAAAAATGAGGAGAGGCTTAGGAACCTCCAGGACATCTTTAAACATTCCAACATCCGAATTATAGGGGTACCAGAAGGGAAAGAGGAAGGGCAACAAGTGGAAAACTTATTTGAACAAATAATAAAGGGGAACTACCCTAATCTGGCAAAGGAAATAGACTTCCAGAAAGTCTAGGAAGCTCAGAGGGTCCCAAAGAAGGTGGATCCAAGGAGGAACACACCAAGGCACATCATAATTACATAACCCAAGATTAAAATGAAGGAAAGAATTCTAGAAGTAGCAAGAGGTAAGGGGACAGTAACCTATAAAGGAGTTCCCATCAGACTGTCAGCGGATTTCTCAAAAGAGACCTTTCAGGCAAGAAGGGGCTGGAAAGAAGTATTCCAGGTCATGAAATCCAAAGACCTACATCCAAGAATCTTGTATCCAGCAAAGCTGTCATTTAGAATGGAAGGGCAGATAAAGTGCTTCTCAGATAAGGTCAGGTTAAAGGAGTTCATCATTACCAAGCCCTTATTATATGAAATGTTAAAGAAACTTATCTAAGAAAAATATGAACAGTGAAAGGACAGCAAACTCAGTTATTAACAACCACACCTAAAATAAAAGCAAACTAAGCAGACAGCTAGATCAGGAGCAAGACCATAGAAATGGAGATCACATGCAGGGTTAGCAACAGGGGAGTGAGAGGAGGAGAAGGGGGGAGAAGGTACAGAGAATAAGTAGCATAGACAGTAGGTGGAAAATAGACAGGGGGAGGGCAAGAATAGTATAGGAAATGTAGAATCTAAAGAACTTGTGACACATGGATAGGAACTAAAGGGGGGGAATATGGGAGGGTGTGCAGGGTGGAGGGGAAATGGGACAACTGTGATGGCATAATCAATAAAATATATTTTTAAAAAAAGAATGTTTTTTTACCGGGATTGCAGCTGCAGTTCCCAAAACATACAGGAAAAAAATCACTGTCTTCATGCTTTCAAAACCTGTGAACCAAGAAGATGATGATCAGTGATGGGTAAAGTTTCCTAACGAAAGGTTAAAATATAACATTAGCAAATATCGAGCTTCATACTGTCCTTTGCATTTAAAAGCGATTGCTGTCTTTGTGGATTAACATGTCTGAGGGGACAGATTAATGACAGCTTTTACTGAGTCGTGCCCTGTGAGAAGGATTCTTGGTATTTTAGCCCATCTGTGCTTGGTGGGAAGTGTTTCTTTTAATGACTGTGCATCTTTAAATGAAAGCTCTATGCAAATCTTGAGTCTTAAGATTTGCATGTTCAAAGTGATGATAAAATCACAAAGTGAACTAATAAGATGTTTTATTATTTGTGTGTCCACATGTCACTTAATTTTATTTTGCAAGCTAATAAACTGGTATTCTGGTATCAACCTCAAAATAACTTACATTTTAGTTATTATAATACATAGAATCATGACAAGTTGTAAGTGGGAAGTCCCAAATACCAAATCGTCCAATTCTCTGATTTTAGAAAAAAGAAAACCAAAGCCCAGATTGTGTAAGTGACTTGTGTGAAGGTGCAGAGCTTCCCAGTGTCAGAAGCAGGCCCTGACCAAGCCTGGATTCTGGTAGAGTCATCTCTCTGTCATATTACGCTGAGCACATGATACACCAGAAACACAGCTAAGGGGAAAAAAAACCTGACCTAAAATAAGGTAGACCAAAGTCTTGTTCCAGCTCTTCCTTTAAGCTATAAGTTTAACTGTTTATGCTTTTATTATTATAAGCATTGTAAAATGTACTGTGCTATTAAGAATATATAGTATTCTAGTTAAAAATGTAAATGTCTTTACTATATAAAATTTGGAAAATGCACAAATGTATGCAAAATAATAAATATCAACTATAATTCTACCCACACAGAAAAACATTAACATTTGACGTATCTTTGCAGAACTTTTTCTAGGCACACTCCCCTGTGTTTTGCTACCTCCTCCATGCCTGAACAGTACCTGGCACAGAAGAGAAATGACCTGTGTGGATTAAGAACATATGCTCAGAGCAAAACCAAGCTCTGATTGTACTGACAATGTGACCTTATGTAATTAATTAACAACTTTCCCGTTCATAAGGTCAAAATAGATCTGCCCTCATTACAAAGTTATAACAATTCAATGACAGTATTTTGGAATGCTATGAATACTGCCTGGAATATAAGCACTAAACAAATGTTTATATAATAAGGTAAATAAATAGGTGCTTAATAATAGGATGTTAAAAAAAAACACCTCTCTGGTGGTGAAGAAACCCGTACATTCAGGGAAGATTTTTAGGCATGAGACACTGCACTGCCCTTTAGGGACCATCAATATTCACCTAATTTAGAGGTTTTACATTGGCAATCTGAGTTGCTGGTGGCATGCCAATGGGTTTGGTAGGCACTGTGTATTTTAAATGAGCATTTAAAAACCTGGAGATTTCATGTTAAAAATCTTATTTGCAGTTTCTCTTGAACTACTGACCCTTTTAACAGCAGCAGGCTTTCATGACAACAGCTGGCTAGATCTGGGTAGAGACTATCCTGTATGAGGGATGCTGACATTTGTACCTGTTGTGCTTCCCTTTTGTTATTTGCCTTGCATTTGAGTTTAGTTAGTCCCAAACTAACTTTTTAAGTTCAGAAATGAAACAAGTGAGGCTGAGGAGCTAAATAAATTGTACTCTCTTGAAAGGAGTGGGCCGTCTACATTTTTTTGCACAGTGTCCTAAGCCTGACAGTCTGGACCCTGACTGAAATTAGGGATGTAGTTTCAGTCCTTACTAGAGATTCTATATCTGAAGCTCCCACAAATAGTAGATAACTCTTTTAAATTACTTCCTGCAATCATATTGTTATGCATTCATGCATCCACAGAGCTTTAAATTTCACTTTCACATTTATAAAGAAAGTGAGTAGTTTCTTCTGCTAGTTACCTAAATATTTCTAATTCATGTGCCTAATTGGATATTTAAAAAGTATATTACATTAGGCATTATTCTACTGATTTTATACTGTAACAACTACCACTTCACACACACACACACACACACACACACACACACACACACACACAACATGCATGCCCACACAGGTACACACCAACTCTTCCTCCTTCCCCTCCCCTTTCTTCCTAAAATAATTATATTACAAGTTTTATTTAAATATTATTGAACATTTATGACAATATAAGTATTCATCATACCCAGCAATTTCCTGTGATGAATTATACTTAAATTTCTTGAACAACATTTTGATTTTGTCTGGACCTAGAAATTGCCTCCCTTTTTAACATACTTTTTCATGTACCCAACATTTATACCTCCTAAATTTTCCAAAAAAAATTTAAAAATTGCTTTTAATAAGATAACAACAGCAACAATAATAAAACCACAACAATAAACTCACAAAGAAACCCCCCAAGTCCTGTTGCCCCTTGGAGATGTCCCTCCCAGAATATCAGTTCTCTTGCTCCATTTGACTGCTTTCCTCCTGGGATCCCTAGTCACCAGCACCCTGGAAATGCCCTTTTCTCATCTCTTGTGTTTCAGTTCTTGCTTTCTTGGTATTATACATATATTTTTGGTGTTTTCCCTCATTTTCATAGAGCACATCCTCCAGAAGCTTCCTGAGAAACAATCATATGGGAGACAAAATTTTTGAGACTTTGTATATATGAAAAACACTTGCATTTTCTTCACTTGATGCATAGTTTGGCTGGATATAGAATTTTAGTTTGAAATTATTATTTTTCTCTGAATTTTAAATCATGTTCCATTTTCTTCTAGTTTCCAGAGTTGCTAGTAAGAACTCCAATGTCAGTTTCCCAAATTATTTATAGCAAGAATGGTTTTTATTCTTTCTGAAAGATTTTGTTTTATTATTTATCCCCAGTGTTCTGAATATTACAATCTCTGCCTTAGTTTGTATCCATTTGGATTTATTTTAGGCACTAAATGAAGCCCTTTGAATTTGGATATTTATATATTTCAATTCTGGGAGATTTTTACCTGTTAGTTTTTGATAATTTTTGTCTTTATAATTTTAAAAATTTGTCTTTTCCTTCTGAAATTCATATTAGTTAAATGTCAGAATTCTTAAAAAGATTTAAACAATTTATTACTATCTTTTCTTCCCTTTTCCATCCTGTTTCTATTATTATGGGAAACTTTCTCAATTTAATCTTTTATTTCTTCTATGGAATTTTAAAACATTTTGCTCATATGCTTTTAATTTTTTATTTCTTTATGATCCCCTTTTTAATATTATTCTCTTCTTTTTTATTAGTGTAATATATATTTATATCTTTTGGATGATATTAATCAAACATCTGGAAAATTTTCTCAGTACCCAGCATTTTCTGTTTCTGTATTATCCCTCCTTTTCTGTTTTTTTTCATTTTGGTTTCTGTTTTTCATGTTGAAAGCTTTTCTCAAATGTCTAATGTCTATTGTTCAGTAATAGTTAGTAGTGAGTCACTAAAAGCCAATTAGAGGTCTCATGGGCACACTTGTCACCTTGGAGAGTTTTCATGGAAGGACTGCAGCAGAAACTTAATAGTTTTGATAGGACACACTAAATGTCATTGTCGGATATTACTCTTGGGGAGATACTCTTTGTCTAGAAAAGATCATATCTCCTACCTTGAGAAGGTGCGTATACGCTTGGTACAAGTATTTTGTGAAATGAACAAGAGAAGAAATGGGAGATCTCTTTGCATAAACTGACTCTCAGTCCTCTAGGTTGCCAGGTGGCACCACATGCCACCCTTCACTGTGCCTATCTGTCCAGAGCCAGACAACTATTTTCTCTTTCCTGCTTCAGGTAAAATGGGCATGAGGTACTCTGGCTATGCAGGCATAAGGTTGTATCTCATGTTTATTTATCTGATAAGCTTTTATTCAGTCCTCCTGATTTTAACTTCTACTCTCATCTCGTCTTCCAAATTACCTAGTGCCTCCATTTCATGAAACATTGCTGGGTTCTGAAACGTGAATTAGCTTCTCTTTTAATGGTTACTGTCTCTAAAAATCCTTAGGTTCAAGTGTTCCCTGTTCTTCCAACTACTATCTATCCTCTAAAAATTTTCTGATTATCTTTTATTTTTTCTGTCTTCTCTTTTTCTTTGTCATTGTGAGTTTACATTATAATTTTTCTTTTCTTATTATTATATGGAATTTTAGCATGGAGTGAAAATATGTGCACATGTTTTGTCAATCCCATTTAATCAACAGAAGTTTTCATTTCTTCATCTGATTTATATTTACCTTATTTATTATTATTATTTTTTTATTTTTTAGGACACACAGGCTTTACTATGCATACTTGGTTCTAACTTCATTAGCAAACAAAGTTTTTATTGAGGAAAAAGAGGCTGTGTGTGTTAGCACAGACATTCTTATCATGTCAGAAACAAATAAGGACTCATCCTCACCTACATCACTATTGGCACCTCACAAGGTCAGCCTCCTAAACTAGGGAACGGAACAGTGCTTTGGAAAAATGGAAAGTAAAGCTGCACATAGAGGGTGATTTAGGATTGAATGTAGTGAAAAAAACTCAGATCATTTATAACCTTAAATAACTAATCTATCCCAGTTTTAGTTAAAATAACACATACTCTGCTTGAAGTTTTAAATTTAATTTTTATAAGGGACTGCTCTGAAAATGAGTATTTATAACAAGTAAAAATTTAGAGTATTGAGAGTGAAATGTGTGTTACATCATTTATATCTTTAAATAAACACTATTTAAAACTAGTAATAGTGTATAACAGACACCAAAAGTGTTTATAAAGTAATAATAAAGTTTATGTTATCAAAGTCCCTTGGGTTTACCAAACAAATTTATAAATGGAATATTACCTTATTTGATCATTGTAATAACCCCATTGACAAGGCAGATAAACAGGCCTAGGAAGACTGTGACAGGACATATTCAAGGTCAAAGAGCTGTTAAAAGGGGGATTGGACTCCTATTCTGGT